TTGTCGCGTCAGCGCAATGGAGGATAGTTCAAATAATTCTGTTCGGCAATTTAATGTTTATACATATTTGCAAGATAAATAAGTTTTTTTTCGGTCGCTTTTCAAAGTATATTTTAAAAAGTATTGGTTTTGACGAGTCAGAAAATATTGATTTATCTGGAATATTAATTTCGTATATATGGGAATATATGTATACATTGACTATTCTTAAACCCACATTCTAATGAATACAGATATTGATTTTATGTAAGTCAGAAGCAGAGTGGAGTGCTTTAATATATCAGTCACACATGAAAAATCATTGTATCACAGAAATATTAAAAATATTAAAAATACTTATTTTGTATTAAATACATTTACACACCGACACATTTATTAATAGTTGATTTTTATTACTTTTTAGGGGAAGATGAATTAGATGAAACTGGAGGTCAAGTTTCAAATGTTAGTCAGCAAGTGGATGGTTCATCTGATGCAGAAGAATCTCAGAGATTAGTTAGTGTCTCATATATAGATTAAATTAATTTTTTTAAACAAACTTTAGATTTGTCACTGACAAATGCTGTTCATCACAGGAAGAAGATGATGACTATGAGCCAGAGGAAAGGAAAAAAAAGAAAGGGAAGAAACGAAAAGCACGCAGTGAAGACAAGAAGGGGAAGAAAAAGAAGAAAAAGAAAAAATCTGATTCTGGAGATGTAATTTCTTCTTTTTTATCTCATAAAATATATGTGACTAATTCATTGATGTAATGTTACATTTTTCTTTCTCACAGGAAAGTGATTTTGGAGGGGGTGGTGAGACTGGTGATGTAGCTGGAGATGATAGTGACTATGCAGGGAATAGAAAGAGTAGAAAATCTTCCTCCAGGAAGTCGTCCAGTCACAATGCACCAGCTTTTGGATTAACTGATGTGCAGATTGAATATACTGATGCAGACTTTCAGAATTTAACCACGTATAAATTATTCCAACAACATGTCAGACCACTTTTGGCAAAAGAGAATCCAAAAGTAAATTTCTTTTCAGAGAATCCAAAAGTAAAGTCCGGCTTCTCTGACAATTTATTTATTCCATGTGTATTTTTAGGTTCCAATGTCAAAGCTCATGATGTTAGTGGCCGCGAAATGGCGGGATTTTTCTGAATTAAATCCCCACACGCAACCAGATGCAGATGTATCATCTGCAAACGTGGATGAGGATAGCAGAAACGCGAGAGCGAATCGTAGTGGCACTGTGCAGGAAGGCGAGGACGAGGAGGACGACGATGAGGACAGCGATAGGAAACGAAAATCGCGAGGATCTAGAGCGAAGAAGGGGAAAAAAGCTTCCAAAGTACCTACGCTTAAGATCAAGCTTGGAAAGCGAAAACGAGGTAGTTCAGATGAAGAAGCAGAAGGTAGTGGTGTTGGAACTGACAGAGATTCGGATATGGAATTCGAGCAAATGTTAGCTGATGCTGAAGAGCCTACTGGCGCGGATGGAACGAACAAAGGAAACACAGATGAGAGTGGCGTCGAACCACCAGCGGAACCACCTGTTCGGAGGAAGGCAAAAACTAAAATCGGCAACAAGACTAAAAAGAAGAAAAAGACAAAGACCACGTCCAAGTTTCCAGATGGGGAGGAAGGCCTTCAAGTATAATCAGACTTTTCATTTAGTACACATGTTTATATAATTAGATTAAATTAATTGACTAAAATTTTTTGGTATAGACTGATCACCAGGATTATTGTGAAGTGTGCCAGCAAGGTGGAGAAATTATACTATGCGACACCTGTCCCAGAGCTTACCATTTGGTGTGTCTGGAGCCAGAATTAGAAGAAACGCCAGAAGGAAAATGGAGTTGTCCTCATTGTGAAGGAGAAGGTATTGCAGGTACCTTCCTTGCAGCCCTGCACCCTGTATCCTGTCCCATACCCTGAAATGGATTTCAATAATGAAACGAATTGTGGTTTATCGAATAATTGATTATTTTTAGGTGCAGCCGAAGACGACGACGAACATATGGAGTTCTGTAGAATATGTAAAGATGGCGGTGAACTATTATGCTGTGATAGCTGTACTAGCGCGTATCATACACACTGTTTAAATCCACCGCTTTCAGAAATTCCTGATGGTGACTGGAAGTGTCCTAGATGTTCTTGTCCACCGATACGAGGAAAAGGTGCTGTTGGATTGCTAAAAACAAATTGTTCGTCGTATATATGAGACTTATATTTCCCTTTATTTAAACAGTTGCAAAAATCTTGACGTGGAGGTGGAAGGAATGCTCAGAGACACCCTCGGAAGAACCCTCCACGAGCAAAGCTGCTCCTAAGCAACGTAGAATACGTGAATTCTTTGTAAAGTGGGCAGACATGTCTTACTGGCACTGTGACTGGATCACAGAATTACAACTTGACGTGTTCCATCCTCTTATGTTCAGGTGTGTACTACTCATCAAATGACGGATGTTGTATTTAACTTTCTTTGTGACGTTTTTCTAAATTCTTTTATGATTTTTAGAAATTACTCGCGAAAGTATGACATGGATGAGCCACCAAAATTGGAGGAACCGTTGGACGAAAGTGATAACCGTGTGAAACGATTGAAAGAACAAGACGGTGCTACTAACAGGGACGAATACAATTTAGAGGAACGGTTTTATCGTTATGGAGTTCGGCCAGAATGGCTTGTAGTGCACCGAGTAATTAATCACAGACTCTCTAGAGATGGCAGAGCGACGTATCTGGTTAAATGGCGAGAATTAGGATACGATCAGGCGACCTGGGAGGATGAGCACGAAGATATTCCCGGTCTGAAGCAGGCCATCGAGTATTATTTGGATCTCAGAGCCGCGAACTGCTGCGATGGTAGTTCCTCGCGCAAGGGCAAGAAGGGTGAGAAGAGTCGGTTAATTAATTTTTTTTCTTTTACAATTCTCATTTACAAAGCAACCTTAATCTTAACCACACGTATTATGTTCAGGTAAAGGCAAAAAGTCAAAGACACGTGAGCTTATCGACGACGAGGAGAGGACACCTAAACGGTATACTCCTCCGCCTGATAAGCCTACAACAGATCTTAAGAAGAAATACGAGAGACAGCCAGAGTACTTAGATCAGACTGGAATGCAGTTGCACCCCTATCAATTAGAAGTAAGTATTGTACTTTTATTATAATATTTAATTCAAAGAATGTCTTATAATTTTATGATTCTTAGGGTTTAAATTGGTTGAGATATTCGTGGGGTCAAGGTATAGACACTATTCTGGCGGACGAGATGGGTCTCGGAAAAACCATCCAGACCATCACTTTTTTGTATTCGTTGTACAAAGAGGGCCACTGCAAAGGACCATTCCTCGTATCTGTTCCTTTATCGACTATCATTAACTGGGAACGCGAGTTTGAAACCTGGGCACCTGATTTTTATTGCGTTACTTATGTCGGTGAGTGCGTGTGAGCAAACAAAATTAAAGCTTATTGATTGTCTTCTTGCTAATTGATATGCTACCTTAATTTTAGGCGACAAAGATAGTCGGATTGTTATACGTGAGAACGAATTATCTTTTGAAGAGGGTGCTGTGCGTGGAGGGCGAGCGTCGAAGATTCGATCTAATCAAATTAAATTCAATGTGCTCCTCACGAGCTATGAATTGATCTCCATCGATTCTGCCTGCTTAGGATCTATAGATTGGGCTGTATTGGTGGTAGACGAAGCGCACAGATTGAAATCCAACCAGTCGAAATTCTTTAGATTGTTAGCCTCCTACAATATCGCGTATAAATTACTATTGACCGGTACTCCGTTGCAAAATAACTTGGAAGAATTATTTCATCTATTGAATTTCCTGTGTCGCGATAAATTCAACGATTTAGCCGCGTTCCAAAACGAATTCGCTGACATTTCAAAGGAAGAGCAAGTAAAGAAATTGCATGAACTTCTTGGGCCTCATATGTTGAGAAGATTAAAGGCTGACGTATTAAAGGTATCATCATATTTTTCATACGTATTTTATTTTTTCAGTTGCTGAACTAAGTATCATTTTTATTTGTAGAATATGCCAAGCAAATCGGAGTTCATCGTTCGTGTCGAATTGTCACCCATGCAAAAGAAGTATTACAAGTACATATTGACGAGAAACTTCGAGGCACTGAATCCCAAGGGAGGAGGTCAACAAGTGTCTCTGTTGAACATCATGATGGATCTTAAAAAGTGCTGCAATCATCCTTATCTGTTCCCAGCTGCGTCTCAAGAAGCACCAACTGCGCCTAATGGAAGCTACGAAACCTCTGCGTTGATCAAAGCAGCTGGAAAGCTAGTATTGTTGAGCAAAATGTTAAAGAAATTAAGGGACGATGGACATAGGGTACTGATTTTTTCTCAGATGACAAAAATGTTGGATATTCTTGAAGATTATTTGGAAGGAGAGGGTTACAAGTATGAGAGGATAGATGGTAACATTACTGGTGCTCAGAGACAGGAAGCCATAGATAGATTTAATGCACCTGGTACATATACATTTTATCTGTAAATATTTTATCGAAAGACAAATTCTTATTTTTCAATTTTCTATGTTCCTTAAATAGGTGCACAACAGTTTGTATTTCTGCTTTCCACTCGTGCTGGTGGTTTGGGTATCAACTTAGCCACTGCAGACACTGTAATCATTTATGATTCTGATTGGAACCCGCACAATGACATTCAGGCGTTCAGCAGAGCTCACAGAATCGGTCAAGCTAACAAAGTCATGATCTATAGATTCGTGACTCGTAACTCTGTCGAAGAACGAGTGACACAGGTGGCGAAACGTAAAATGATGCTGACGCATTTGGTTGTGAGACCTGGCATGGGTGGAAAGGGTGCCAATTTCAGCAAGCAGGAACTTGATGACATTTTACGTTTCGGTAAGATTGTAAAATTTATAAAATAGCGATTGAAGTTGTGGAAGATTTCTACAAACTATATTTGCATTAGGTACTGAGGAATTATTCAAAGAGGAAGAGGGTAAGGAAGACGAAGCCATTCACTATGACGACAAAGCAGTGGCTGAATTGCTAGACAGAAGCAAGGAAGGTATCGAGCAGAAGGAGAATTGGGCTAATGAATATTTAAGTTCCTTCAAAGTCGCCTCGTACGTGACAAAAGAAGGTGAAACAGAGGAAGAAGCAGACACAGAGATTATTAAACAGGAAGCTGAAAATACAGATCCTGCTTACTGGATAAAACTACTGAGGCATCACTATGAACAACAGCAAGAGGACATTGCTAGAACGCTTGGGAAAGGTGCGTATAAATTACCTCTTTTTACGTATATGGATAATTAAGATGTGGCAATTATTTTCAGGTAAACGAATACGTAAGCAAGTGAACTATAACGATGGAGTAGTGACTGGAGACCAAAGCGCGAGAGACGATCAAACTTGGCAGGAGAACTTGTCTGACTATAATAGTGACTTTAGCGCTCCTAGTGATGATGACAAAGAAGACGACGACTTTGATGAAAAAGGCGATGGAGATTTATTGTCCCGCAGAAGCAGACGAAGACTAGAAAGGAGAGACGAGAAGGATCGACCTCTTCCACCGTTGCTTGCCAGAGTTAATGGTAACATTGAGGTATGCCATTGCATAGTCTCTGTTATGTTTAAAAACTTAATTTAAAAAGTAGGTGCTAATATGATTTCTTAATCCAGGTGTTGGGCTTCAATGCAAGGCAGAGGAAAGCATTCCTCAACGCGATCATGCGTTACGGTATGCCACCACAGGACGCGTTCAACTCTCAGTGGTTAGTTACTCGCTCGAAATGTGTGTAGTAATCAGTAAATTTAAAGTACTGTTAAAGTATATTATCGCATTTCAGGCTGGTGAGGGACCTGAGGGGCAAGTCGGAGAAGAATTTCAAAGCGTACGTGTCCCTGTTCATGCGACACTTGTGCGAACCTGGTGCAGATAACGCTGATATGTTTGCTGATGGTGTTCCAAGAGAGGGTCTTAACAGACAACACGTATTGACCAGAATAGGCGTTATGTCTCTGATAAGGAAGAAGGTGCGTACACAAATATTCTAAATTTCCGTTATAATAATTATATTATTACTTAACAGGTACAAGAATTCGAGCATATAAACGGATACTATTCCATGCCAGAGATGATTCGAAAACCAGTGGAGCCTGTGAGGGTGGAGGCCGGTGGAGATGCGGCAACTGGAACTAGCAGTACCAGTGCAACACCAGCTACTTCGAATGCACCTAGCCCAAGTCCTGCTGCGACCCCAACTCTGACCACTGTTTCTGTAGCCGCGGCCACTGAGTCGAACAAGGCAAATTCTGATTCATCTGAGGTGAAAGAGTGCAAAGAAGAGCAGAAAGATAAAGAGGTGAGTGTCTTTGATGTCTACTTGTGGCGTGAGAGTCTTAAGAATTCATGAACATATTTTCAGAATACTGATTCGAAGGATGTGAAGGAAGAGTCTAAAGATTCTAAGGAAGATGAGGAAAGCAACGCGGAGAAGGAGAAAGATAAGGAAGATGTGAAGAAAGAGGAAAAAGACGCAGAAACAGAATCAGCAGAGAAGGATAAAGACAAGGCGGATGTCAAAGATGAGAAATCTGCGACGAAGCATGACGAAAAGGCAGAGAGCAATGAAAATAAACCCAAACAAGATTCTGAAGAGGACGTGGTCATTGTTAAGGATGACGAAGAGGAATCTGAGAAGCGAGAGGTACTTATTTGATAATAAGTCTAGCAGTGGTAATTTTGTTACAATTAACATACTTTTTAATGGATCACTTGCAGGAAAAAGATACCAAGGATAAAGACGTAAAGGACTGTGATTCAGAGGTGATGAAGCCCAAACGCAAGTTTATGTTTAATATTGCCGATGGTGGTTTCACTGAATTGCACACATTGTGGTTGAACGAAGAGAAAGCCGCCGTACCTGGCCGTGAATACGAAATATGGCATCGAAGGCATGATTATTGGTTATTGGCTGGCATTGTCACGCATGGCTATGGCCGCTGGCAAGATATTCAAAACGATATCAGGTAAAATGGAAATGAATGCTAACTGATGATAAATGTACTACGTATATTTTACGTTAATATTGTCTAACACAGGTTCGCAATAATAAATGAACCGTTCAAGATGGACGTGGGTAAGGGTAATTTCTTAGAGATAAAGAATAAATTCCTGGCTCGACGCTTCAAACTGTTAGAACAGGCATTAGTGATAGAGGAACAGCTGAGAAGAGCCGCGTACCTGAACTTAACGCAGGATCCGAATCACCCTGCGATGAGCCTGAATGCAAGATTTGCAGAAGTTGAGTGCCTTGCGGAATCACATCAGCATCTTAGTAAAGAAAGTCTTGCCGGCAATAAACCAGCAAATGCTGTATTGCATAAAGTAATATTTCATTTAAATAGTATATGCATTTTATTTTAGTATAAAATTTTGTTTTTCTAATTTCTTTTGTAATTTATAGGTACTGAATCAGTTGGAAGAGTTGTTGTCCGACATGAAGTCAGACGTGAGTCGTTTACCAGCTACTTTAGCTCGCATTCCACCTGTTGCTCAGCGCCTTCAGATGTCCGAAAGATCGATATTGAGTCGATTGGCTGCCACTGCACCTGGAGGAAGCAGTTCTCAATCAGGTCAAGCAGCATTATTAGCACAACAATTCCCTGCAGGCTTCTCTGGTGGGCAATTGCCAGCTACCTTTGCTGGTGCGGCCAATTTTGGCAACTTCAGACCACAATACTCAGTACCGGGTCAACCACCACAGGGATTCACAGGTTCGCAGCAATTTCACTTCGAATATGTAATAAAACTTATATAAATATTAATAAAAATAATTTCTATTGCAGCTTGAATACTAAAGGGTTGACAAACAAAAGTGGCTCAAACAAGAACTCATAATGGCGCAGGTTAACACTACCTTTTAACGAAATATCGTGTGCGCTGTGTTATTTTTCGTAAATTACGATTTTTAGCTGAATTTCATTAGAAGAGAAGATGCTAAGGTTTAAAGAAGTGAATACACACGTATACATACATACACATACACACACAACACACGTAATATCTTTACATCTAAATTTACATTATTCCTGTATTTATTATACATGTACATTCGGCGTTTAGCATCAAGATTTTCATGTTTTTGTATTTATACATATACGGTCTTTGTGGAAGGCGGCGTAAATTATTCTCTTAAGTAGATTAAGAGCATAATTTACAATTTTTTTTTCATCGACCTGTGTGTATATCGTAATGATAAGTACATTTCACTTAAAGCAAAGAAACGAGAAAAAAATTATTTAAGAGACTAAACTACGCAGTTTATCGTGTAAGGTACGCCCTATATTAATTCGAACGATTGTCGTTCAGCATAATTTATTCGCTGATGTTCTTTTCCGCGACAATAGTGTCCCCACGGATGCCTGAAAGACTTAATCATTAGTCAAAAATGTGTCCTTTACAATATGTGTACTCGAGAACTTCAGGGATTTCAGTTTAGATTGTGCGCTGAGAATTTGTAATCGGCAGAATAATACCACGGCGAACAATGGCAATCATTTTAGTTAAGACTGACGTTCACATATATTCGGGAGAGTTCATTTCATATACATATGTATACACGCGCTATTGTAATGCATGGGTTTCCATATAAAATGAATTTCAGTTTGAATTTTTCTCAACAACTGAATACCATATACCACATATAAGTCGATGATGAGGGCAGAGGCACAAAAAGTCTGTTTGACTAAAAATATAGGTCTTAGAATTGAATTTGATAATATACTTTGTATATACTATGTCGAGTTACATTCAGCTGCACCATATACAAGAACACACATACATACAAGCATAATATAGTGCTGTCTTGTCCTTAATAAGTAAGGCCAGAAAACACGTCACAAGGGATATAAATGTAATTATGACACAGGAATATTAAGCATATATTACTTGTTCGATCTTTTCTACCCAAGATTCGAGACACACTAGAGAGCATTTTAATTTTTGAGTTAACCAACTTGCCAAAATACTGCGTTGGCACATGATGACGATGATAAGTTTTTAAGGGTAATTTAGAATGTAGCTAAAGAATCTGAGCGAGAGTGAAGAATAAATGATAGAGAAAGAGAGAGAGAGAGTGTGTGTGTGTTGAGTGAATATAAATAAGTCAAATCACGGAAAAATCGTTTGTTGTATGTATTAATTCTGCTGGAATAAATTAATAACAATTAGAAATTATAGTGATACTCGATCATTCATTTTATTCACTAATTGATCGAAAATTGTAATAAAATGCTTTATTAGGCAATAAATACAAATTACAGAACACTATAGAGTTTACATAAATTTGCGATAATTTTATTCATGAACCATACGTTGTAAATTAAACATGATATAATGTCTAATAATGTGGTGAAATAGTTGACATGAAGTGATGAAAAAATAAAATATGAAATTTTGCCAATGTGAAATTTCACGCTCCTTAACTAGACGTGTCTTTGTTCTGTTTTTGTTGAATCATTTCCCTGATATTATTCTCACATTCTTTTAAATTCTGTTGTAAATACGTTTTATTATTCTCCAAAGTCTTCACTTTATCGTCAAAATTCTTCATACGTTTTTCTAGACCAGTTTTAATGCTCTCCATGTCATCCAAGAGGAACATTCTGCCGACGGATTCGTAGGTTTTGGTCTTTTCCGGATAAGAAGTTATTTCTTTTATGGTTAGTTCGGCGAACTGCTTGGATCTTTTCAATTTTTCGATCTGTATGTCTGCCAATTTTAATTTCTGGGTGGTGTCGAGCATTTTCTCGTGCAACTGCGAGAAAGCCTTTTTTAATTCTTCGTCAGGTTCTCTAGCCATTTTTCTGCAACTATTCCGTCAAGTATAGGTTAGGAAATCCTCGAAGCGATTATTTAAAATGTTAGTTTAACATTACACGTAATAAAAGGTACAAAAATTTGATTTAAAATAACAAAGACTTTATGCCTCATTATTTGGACAGTATTATTGTTGTACTTTGATATGTCTAATACTTACTATAGTTGAATAATAAGGAAATCGCATACCATGTGGATTCCACCTAGTGAGTTAACAGAAAAGCTTTTTATATTGTTATGTGGCTCATGTGGCGCCCTGTAGTGTGAAGCTGAAGCGCACCGAATTCAAATTTTGCCGCGGTGTAACCGAAGCAATGAACAAAAGAACTCGATAACATATGCATATAATGTACTGTAAAATTTCATTGACTACTATTTACAATTGCTCCTTTAGATAAATGTTTATCGTTGTTGTTACGTACAGAAACATTGCTGAGGTGTAAAGCACTTGCTTCTAAAGGAAATATGTATTAATAAACAAATGCGAAGTACCAATCAAATTTATCCTTAAATAATCTTATACAGAATCTTTAATTTAATTGCAGATTATTATTATTAAACAAAAACATGTTAACATTGAATAATGAATATCGACGACGCTTGATGATTCATTCACTTTTCCTCGCTGAAAGGGTCTAGACGTATTATTTTATAACAAAAGAAATAGTTAAAACAAGCGAATTAAAAAATACATTTATATTTTTCTCCTATTAATTTGAATATTTTGTAAGAATAATGTATGACATGCAGTGAGAAGTTTCAGTAATTAAAAAATATAGTGAGTGAAGTTTCGATATTGAAAAATATATTTCATTACCGTGTTATTCTGTAAATAAATTTATTTTCATACTATTTCGTTTAATAATTAAAAAGTTAAAGTGTAATGTATCTTCTTCTTTAATCAGTAAATAAATATTACTTATCTGAATTCTTATAATTGATTAAAAATAGAAAGAATTCACGTATACCATCGGTTTATCTACAAGCCAACTTTCAACTGAATTTGGGCTGAAAAGCGCTAAGTAGATAAGGATAGAAAGACTAGAAGAATTACTTCTTACGGGCATTAAATTCGTCTGAGAAAATCAGACGTTAATAGGCTTATGGAATGTGCTAGGAGCTAATAGATAAAAGGGAAGATGGTTCTACATAAGCTAGACAAGGATAGAACTAGCTATATAGCGACGCAAACATCCGCCCGCGCAAAGCAAACGCGTCCACTTCCGTATTACAGACCAGATACAGGCTACAGGATAAACTTAACACCACAGACAAGGTTCAGGATAGACCTTGCACCTAATATATTTTTGTGTCCAACGTTCTGAAATATCGACCGTGTAAAAAATTAGAGTTTTTGTTAGCAAGAGAAGAAGAGGATTATTGTTATAGTTTTATAGTTGTTATTTTTGTTGATTATTGATCCTGTAAAAATATGCCTATAGTTCACTTAAATTCGTTCGATAATTCTAATACAAAGGTTCCCTCAGAAACTCCTACTTTCTGAGTTAGTCGGTAAATTAGAGCACGTTTTCTCTTCTCGCGCCACCTCTAGCGATTTGGTATCGGGATTATAAGTAAGTACTTTACATACTATGTAAATAGTTGGAGGTATTAGACAAGGATCATACATTGTATGAGAAGGATAGAGAGAAAACGTTTCTTATTGGCCCAGCCAAGATTACGCTCCGTTCTCCTGAAGACAAATAGACTCAAATAGGCGAGAAAATTCACTAATTACTCATTATTTACACAAAAGTTGTACACTTTTGGTATTAAATAATAAAGTACAAACATCTAACTATATTCAGATGTAGTTTTCAAGGCTATTCGTTCCCTTAATAATTAGTTATTAACAATTTCTGTACAAAGTGATGGAAATGGCTTGATATACCCTTGTGATTTTTCATAAATTTTACAACTTTCTGCGAAAAATTTGTAACTTTTTATAGGCGTATTCCAAAGACCACTCTTTTAACAATCTTCATATACAAGTTTTGTTACCATATTCTTCATAGTTTAATATTTATTAAATGTTATTGGAGAAAGGACCTTGATATATTTTTATTATTTTAGCAGGCTTATGCTGTAAATTTATAAACATATAAGCATGCATTCTTAAGATGCATTCGTATTCAGAGTTGTGCGGCTGCAGCAAATAAATAACTAAATAAGTAAATACATGTTAAATTCATTAATAAATATGAATATGAAGTTCTAATAACATTTTGCAGACTTTCACGATTGCAAAATGTAGTACAGGTATCTGTTTACATTTACCAATTATTTTTGTCTAAATTAGATGTATGGTTCGTTAAATATTAATAATTGTTTAGAAGACGGAAAGACCAATTTATTGGTGCCACACATCATATTGATAATAACTAATTAATTTGTATTTAAACATTTACAAAAACTACATTTGAAAGTAACTAAAGAACTGTACTTCATTATGTAACTATAAAATTTCGCATTTTATATACAATAAATGAATAAATAATAGATATTGCTGAAGATGAATTATGCAGAAGAATATGTTTGTTGAAAGTAGCTGCAATTATTATTAATAATTAATTAAGTAATGTTTACAAAAGTTATATGTGGAAATAGCAGGAAGTCTGTACTAATTACTTAAGTACTTTATTGGCATTAAAGTTATTTAATGTGCGAATTCCTCCTAGATAATGAGTACAATTATATTTTATGATCCTAATACTGAGTCGCTAGTCTGCGTAACCGAACATGAGGTATCCTGTCTCGCTGCTAGCTGATTTTATCTTTATTTAGCTTATGTGAAACTATCTTCTCTTTTTATCTATTAGCTCCTATCACATTCTGTAAGCCTATTAACCCTTGGACAGTTTATCCCGAGTGAGACTCGGGCAGAGTGTCAAGTACCGAACAGTTTAGATCAGGGGTCGAGAACCTGCGGCTCTTAAATGTTTAATAAAAATCTGCTGTTGCCATCGCAGAACCGACAGTTACCCCCCAAAAAATAACTATAATGCGTCGGTAAAGTAAATGTTTCCACGCGATTCTTAAACTTGCAATTCTTAAATTTAATGATTCTTAAATTAAAAATTTAAACTTAAATTAAAATTGCGGCTCCCTAACTTTTATTTTTTGTACGTTATTTTGTTGAAATGGCTCTTAGGTTCCGAAAGGTTCCTAACCCCCGGTTTAGATTGAGAGAGACTCTTTAGGAAGAAAAATAGAAAGAGGTATTATTATGAAATCTGTAACATAGGTTATGTATCCCGTACTTTAAAAATGATTACACACGACGTAATTATTAAAAAGGTACGTGCAAACTACACATTTTTTTAATGTAATTCATAATTGTATTAGAATGTCTAAGTAATATTCTATCCTTATCTAGCTACCTGTTTCTTTTCTTTTCTATCTTATTGTACATATAGGGAATGGCTAATAGGTGGTCAAAAAACTTAATTTTCAGGAAGATAAACAAATAATAAATTGTTGTGTGTTTTTTATATACATAATTTATAATACAACTGGGATGCAATTAATTGCGTGTAAGCGGTGTTATTCGATAATTTTTGCGTATTCTTGATTATGATTGAAGAGAACAGCCGTTTTGTTTTTATGTAGAAAGTTAATAAATAATTGTTTTCTGCAACGGTTTTTAATTATGGCAATATGCTTCTGAAGAACTGTGGTTTATAATACCGCTTTCAAAGTGCTTTTATTATTGATATTTAGATGATTAATAAATATGAAAAGGGGCAATTCTGTTGTCATATTCTCCTATTAAAATACTACAATTTTGGCGCAAAATTGTCTACCTTATTAACAGAGTATATATACTCATGAAATATTTTAAGAAATTACTTAATATTAAACAATTTCAGGTTGTATTGAATTTAGACGATTTCAGTGTGTTAAATATAATTTATTTAAACAATATATGCATACAAAAAATTAAATGCAGCTTTAAACGAGCAAATTCTGAGCTTCGCTTTGTACATTCTTTGAAAGATTTAGGTGACACTTAAACCGATTATTGCACCTACAGAAAAAAATGGATAATTTTAAATTGTAAAAAATGAAAAAAGAATGCTACATAGAGAGGATACAATGGAAAAAAAAAGTTACGCGGATCTGTCAATCTGAATTGTGATATTAGATAAGTGGAAATCGAGTCACGAATGGTAACGCGATTACGAAAGTATCTTTTCATGAAGGTCTTTCAATGTGGGTCTAGAAAAGCGTCAAGTTTGACAACAGTGCCAAAAACGCCGCTCCAAAGTCCGCCAGAGAAAAAACTGAAACCGAATCAAGGCTCAATTAATGCAATTAGAAATACAAGTTTTCTCAGGGAACATAACCTCACTGTCGGCACGATGACTGCTGATGAGATACAAACTGAAAGTTGCATTCAGGATGGATCAGTTTGCGTTACAAAATTGCAAAGAGGAAAAACTGTGTATTTAGATGCACCTATCAAGTCGCAAAACGATAAAAAAGAGTATAGGTAAAAATTACATGAAAATAACAACGGAACTCTTGTTGATTATTTGTCATCATGTTACATATTTTATTTCCATGTTTTTCTATAGGGTGATGAAATTGGAAAATGGCTTGACTGCTTTGCTAATTTCAGACCCTCATTCACTGTCCTCTGAAGACAATGAAAGTGATGGTAAAGGTAAAAGAATTTTTCTTCTTAAGTTCATTTTTAGTCATTATACTTATTTGATAATTCATGAGAGTACATTTATTTGTTACTTATCAGCAGATGCAGTATGTAGTGAAAATGATGATGAGGAAATGGATGAAGAAACTGACAGTAATGAGGATGACAAGTGTGAGGAAGGAAGTGATCAATCTGATTCTGACGGTGAAGATTCATCCACATGCTCGAAACAAGTGAAAAGAGAAGAGAAAATGGTATCTTTTATTAACATGTACAACTCTTAATCAATGTCAAATATATGTATATGTATTGTTAATATTCTGCTGTGCTGCTATGCATATTTCTTACACAGGCAGCATGTGGATTATCTGTGAATGTAGGGTCCTACAGCGATCCAATAGAGATTCAAGGTTTAGCACATTTTTTGGAACACATGGTTTTCATGGGATCAGAAAAGTATTCTCAGGTATTCATTTTAGCAAAAAAAATGTTCATGAACATTTTTCCAATTTTTATTATGAATTTTACAGGAGAATGACTTTGATGCATTCATTAAAAATAGAGGAGGTTCTAACAATGCTACCACCGACTGTGAATTAACAACATTCTATTTTGAGATACAAGAAAAGCATCTTTTATCAGCTCTGGATCGTTTTGCTCAATTTTTTATCAAACCTTTAATGAAGAAAGATGCTATAACTAGGGAAAGGGAGGCTGTAGAAAGTGGTACATATTGGAGATATTTAAATGATATTTCATTTTTGTATTTGGTGATAACATTGAATAATTCATACAGAGTTTCAGGAGGTCTTACCATCCGATTATTGTAGACAAGAACAATTATTCCGTAGCTTCGCATATCCGGATCATCCAGCAGCAAAGTTCACTTGGGGTAATTTAGTAACATTACGGGATGGCGTAACGGATGATAAGCTTTACGACGCGTTGCATAAGTTTAGGGAACGTCACTACAGCGCTCACAGAATGAAACTTGCCATACAAGTTAGTGAAAAATTTTTCAAACTTAAAATCGAATTTCAAACAGCAGCAACAGCAATTTACTATTTGTATTAATAGGCTAGACTCCCACTGGACGTGCTAGAAGACTATGTAACGCAATGCTTTGCAAGTGTACCGAGCAATGGTTTACCACCTGATGATTTTACCGCATTTAAAAAGGAAAATGCATTCAATACATCTCGTTTCAGAAGGATCTACAGGATTAAGCCCATAAAAAATGTTTGCAGAGTATGTATGGATTAAAAAAGAAGCAATTATGGATGGAAAACTAATTTCACTTGTTTTATAGGTAGAGTTGATATGGTCTCTGCCCCCTGTGCGTGATTTATACAGAAGCAAACCTTATCACTATGTCTCTTGGATCATAGGGTACAAGGGAAAAGGTTCTTTGATTAGCTACTTAAGGAAAAAGATGTGGTGTCTTGAAATTTTTAGCGAATATGAACATTGCTCCATGTATACATTGTCCTGTCTAAGTTTAGTACTAACTGAGCAAGGCTACAAGCATTTGCTAGAAGTGTTGAATGCTGTATTTTCTTTTATCAATATGGTTCGCAAAGAAGGCCCTCAGAAGAGAATCTACGACGAGATTCATCAGATTAAAGAAACTGATTTCAGGTATCTGATAATAATTCGAAATATTTGCGAGGAAAAAAAGTTTTGCTTGAATTTTTAGATTCACTGATGAAGAACCACCTGTAGAGTACGTTGAAGATCTGTGTGAAGAGATGCATTACTATCCACCTTGCGACTACATTACTGGACAAGAATTGTACTTCGAATATAATCCAGAAGACATCGAACGCTATTTGAATTACTTAAGACCAGGCGATGTAAATATCATCATTTCTAACAAGAAGTTCAACGATGAAGAATTCGACAAAGTGGAGCCTTGGTTCAAGACCAAATACACCGATACAGTAATCCCTAACAAGTGGATAGAATGCTGGAGAACCATCGAACCTTATCCCGAGTATCATTTACCTTTACCCAACGATTTCCTCACAGATGACTTCAGCTTAATCCCGACTCCAGTTGAGGTACCTAAATATCCTACGCAAATTCATTCAGATGAACTGATTGAAATCTGGTACCGGCCTGATACGAAATTTGCCTTGCCCGAATGTTACATGTATTTTTATATTATATCTCCTACGGCTGTTGCTTCGCTGAAGGGGTAGGTTGTAATGATTTTTTATCAAGAAGCAAGAATTATTTAGTAGAACTACTTGTCTTGAATTTCAGTGTGGTTATGATGGAATTGTACGTCACTCTACTGCAACTGTTGCTAGTAGAAGTATTATTTCCTGCTACGGTTGCTTCCCTGAGCCATGAAATTTACTCAACTGACATGGGTATTGCTCTCAGAGTGAATGGATTCAATCAGAAGCTGCCAGTAAGAATATTTATTGTATTTTTAATAGCATAATTATTATTTAGTTTCTATCAATTTTTTTTTATTCACAGTTATTGCTAGTGACAATCGCAAAATGCATAGCGAAGAGTCCAGAATTGACAGAAGAGTTTTTCGAAGTGATCAAGGAAACACAAGCGAAATCGTACTATAATACTTTTAAGAAGCGTAATAAATTAATTGTGTACGTAAAAAGACATGAAAAATCATGAAGAATATATCTAAAACTTTTCTACATTTTCTTCGAAATTATTTCAGAGAAGTGAGGTTGTCGATTCTAATGCAAACCCACTGGACATCTGTGGACAAACATGTTGCCATCAACACCGTGAAATTCAACGAGTTCCAGAGCTTTATCAAATACTTCACCGACCACGTTTATATTAAATGTCTAGTGCAAGGGAATATGACGCAGGAGGACGTGATTGAAAACGTCCAGGGATGCGTGAAGATCCTAAAATGTGGACCACTGTTGCCCAACACTATGCCACAGATGAGAATTACTCAAATACCAATTGGCAAACATTATTGCAAAATTAAGAATCTGAATGGCACAGATGCGAATTCTGTAGTGAAGAATTACTATCAATCTGGCATTACGTCTGTTAAATTATCGATCCTTATCGACCTACTGATTGTACGGGCAAGCTTAAATTTTATTACTTTGAAGTCATTCTGTAGATAATATATATTTTGTAATCTTTGCTCAGCTGCTCATGGAAGAGCCCCTTTTCAACCAACTCAGAACGCAGGAACAGCTTGGCTACGATGTTTCCTGTACGCCAAAAAATACCTATGGGATTCTTGGCTATTCTATTATGGTTTGCACTCAGGCAGACAAATACACCACGGAACATGTGGATAATAGAATAGAGGCCTTTCTAGAAATGTTCAATAATATTCTAAAAGAGATCACAGAGAAGGACTTCGACCGTATCAAAGAGACGTTAATAAAACTAAAGCAACATGCAGACATACATTTGAAAGAAGAAGTTGATAGAAATTGGTTAGAGATTATCTTCGATGATTACATGTTTGATAGAATAGAGAAACAGTTACAAATGATAGAGCACATCAAGATAGACGAATTAAGAGAATGGTTGAATTCTCATGCAGTTGGTGGCAGTAATTTCAGAAAATTGAGCATACAAATAGTTGGAACCCCTACAAACACTGATAAAGAAAAAAATGAAAGTGTTCATTCGGAAAACAACGAGGCCAACAGTAAGTATATTAATTTTAGTATTATATTGCAAACCATGTCAAATATCGAAATATTGCGTCATTTACGATCTTACAGCTAACTTGAAAATAGAGGAAAGTGAAAGTAAGAAGTATACATTGATCTATGTCCCTGTCGCAAAAGAGACTGACAAATCTTCGGAGTATATCACTAATATTCAAGAGTACAAGAAACGTTTATACATCTATCCTATAAATCACACTGATTTATGATGTTAAATTCTTCTGTGAAATTGATAGTTGTTAATATTTACGCAACTTGTCTAACTAAAAAAAACAAAATGGAATAAAGCTGTGATGAATATCATGTACATTTGTAAATCATTTGTTCTATCATATACTTCATAGGTTAAGTCAGTACCTAACAGATTTTTAAGCTATAATTGTTATAATAAGGGGAGTAACATAAAAATTAATTAAGATAAAATTACTTTCCTTTTTCTTTTATAGTTCTTTTAATTGTATTCAAGACATGACAACACGTTTCAATAAATCATTAAACTTCCGAAAATGTCAGCCAACCATCTCCGAGAACCTCTCACACAAACAGCTTTCTTACAAAACTTCACTGAAAGTTTGTTTCCTTTATTTTGAACCGTGCAGTGTGTCCTGCAAAGCTTTTTTTAATTATTTTTTTTCCCTCTTCAAACTCAACAGAGAATCTCTATGAACCATTACAACTGTTCTCTCTACTTTGCATGTGTGTCGTGTAATTGCATTTATATAAGAAAAACGAAGATAAATATATATATATATGTTATTTTTTTTTCTGTTAAAAGAAACAAACTTAAAATATCTGTCATTGGAGAAACTTCTCTGCTCGTTAGGATAAAAAAAATTGTTCTTCGTTCCTCAATACGCAATATATCATTATTAATTATCTGATTTCTTTATCAATAATTTTTTTCTTTTTTCGTTTAGAATGAAAGATGCCCTTCTCTTGTTCAGCCGGCAGAGCAGTTGTATTCCAAAGAACAGATTTACAGTAAAATGTCGATGCAATTTGAATACTCTTAATTGTTACAACATCCATTAAAAGTGCATTTTGCATTTAATATTTCGAATAATTATTGAATATATTGTTTTTTTTTGTTTTGTAGTATTATAGAGTTGCCACTACATTTATACAATGATTATCTCCTACTTTCCAAATATGTATCCGTTTTAAAAGTACTTTAAATGTGACTTCTTTCTTTAGCACTATAATAATCTTTTGGTTGCCTCGTGTTTTCGCCAGCACTGATTCTTCCGTTTCTTATTTTTTGCTTTAACAGGTTTCTCTTTTAACCTTCACACGCCTATTCCTAAATTATATTTAACAATATCAAAATGTTCAACTTGGTTTATTATTGTTTTTAATACCCGAATAATTAATGAAATTTCCGCGCTCGGCTTTCTTCGACTTTTGCTTAAAAATGTATTTTCTCCAGTTTTCCAACTAGCAAAAGCATAGAATCAGCTCTGCTTGACACTAGACATGAATGGGGTATATGTTATAACAGTAAGTTACAAGGTAGAATAATCCAACAAGAATACATCGATGAGACTGTGTGTTATAAAGAAATGTAATAACTGAATGGGTCAGTTTGGTACTGTTCTTACACCAGCAAATTACCAACTAATGCAGTATATGCCGTTTCTACGTACAAAAACCTTGTGTATCATTCTGCTTTGAATTCTACAGCAAATACGTACAAATAATGTTCGCTGACTAATTGATGCAACATCATAAATCATTATGCTGCGATGGTTTTAACATTGTTACATTAACAAATAGTAGTTTGAAAATGCTTATATGTATATTACACTTTACAATGGCTTTTCTACAATTTCAGGAAATAGAAGAACCACCAACCGACCCATGTAGATTCAAAACAATACGACCATTGACAAAATCATAGCGCATGTACAATTTTATTTGTCCCGCTTTCTGGGTTACTAAAAAATAATCGCCTCTGCCATTCAAACACAAAGTGTTCGCCTAAGATTTTTCGTTTTTTTGTTCGCAAAAGATTACATTCCATGCGCTGTGCACACTCCATCATCGATTACCTTGTCTTCTTATGTGTTACAAAACAAAAGAAAGTAAAACAGAAAAAATAAACATACAATGATTATGAATTGTAACATACAATGATTACCCTCTGTACGCACTTGTTACTTTTAATCATCTTTTTTTTTTTAATCTTTGTTGCTTCCTTTAGCTATGAAAAATAATAGCAGAATATACGTTATGTAATATTTAATAAGAATATATAAGGACGGGGCCCACATACATTTGCAGCTACATTGATAAGTGTTTAATTCATTACGTTTTCTTTTTTTGGCTTTTTTACTTTATTAATATTTTTTTATTTACTGCCTTTGCTACGGTATGTTTTAATATATCTTGTTAATAGGGGTATGCAAGCGAAACTATGGTAAAAAGAGAAACTTAAAATTTAATAACATCGAGCATGATAGCAACTCAATATCATTTTTCATCATTCTACCCTATTTGATCATCCATCAAGGGCATTCTCTACTTCTTTTTCTTTTTTTCAATGGGTTGCTATTAGAAAATCCTGATATTCTACTAGCACAAAGCTATGATATACGTTGTAAAAAGAGAAACGAGAAGAAATTGTTGAAACGTTTTCTTTTCTTTCTTTTAATGCCCATTAGTTTGCGTGCTTCTATTAGAGACATACAGTGTGAAATAATAACATAAAACGCATCGTTCATCATTTTTTTGTGGCAATCATTTAAAACAAATCATTGAAATTAAATGATCCATTTTTATATATTATATTTTTTTCTCTATTTTAAAATACTAATTAAAATATTAAACAAATAGCGAAGCAGCGTAAGTTTTTTCATTATGTTTCATACTGAAAAACGCGATAGCGTCTCTCTCTCTTCAATGCTTAACTACTTGCTGTATCAGCAATAGCGTTGATTAAATGAAAAAAAAATAAATAAATAAATAAAAGGAAATGATAAACGAGAGAACAGTTTGTTGAAAATTGACGCACCGGTTTACAACAAAAGTGTTTCTATTGATTTAAAAAAAAAAGAGAAAAAAAACGATACATATGTAGTCACTCAATTTACATTCTCGTTCGACCGTTTCTCATTTATTAAGCCTTTATCATCATCAATATTCCAGCATCATCATCATTATCATCATCATCATCATTGTTACATAGCAAGAGTTTAAAGATGTGCCTTACTTCGAAGTATAATTAATTTTCTGTTTTACCACAACGACACACAATGTTTGAAGATCGAGGTTATAAGTGGGTGCTTTTTTTTTACTTTCTAAATACACAAGGAGAGATTATTGGTTTACTTGTTGGCTCATTTTTTTTACTTTCTTGCGCGGATACGTCCTCTATAAATCGTTAAGACAAAGTTGTTTCGTGGGCCCCTATTTTTTGCGTATTTTATCATTTTTTCCCCTCTTCACTACATATTACAACGAAAAAAGGCAGGCACGAGTCAAGCGCGCACCTGTTCTTTTTGCGTCGATCATTTTATTTTACGTTTTACGTAAGTTTTACTTCTTATCATTTGCTTTTGCGATACTTCTGCTCTGTTGTATTATTATTATTATTTTCAATAACATAGATTTTCATTTATATATTTGTTTCCTTTTATTCAACCCTTATTTTCTCCCTTTTCCATTTTCTTTTTTCTGTTACTTTTTATCATATATTCCATACCACGGTTTTGCTTGTTCATTTCAATATTTAGCACATTAAATTGTTTCAGTTTTTTACATTTATTGCGTTACCTCATATCAGTGCAGCAGCAACTGATCGTGTTGTGTATCATCATGTATTTTTATACATATATATTTATATATTACGTCTTTTTTTATCGTTTCATTTCGTTTTTTATTACATATTTTGCATTCTCCGGTTTTTCTTTTTGTATATTTCAGGATGATCGATTTCTCAAGAAAGAATATCTACCTTTACACGAAAAGCGTAAAGTGGTATTTTACTCTCGAATATTCGTCCGTCGGATCTGAAAGTCTCTTCTGCTTCTAGTTTTAAGATTATACGTACATATTGTTTAATGTCGTTCGTGAACGATCGGCGTCGTCTAATTTTTTTAAATTGTTCATGACTCCTTTTTTTTCTACCTTTTTCATACTCTTCTGTTTTGTTTTTTTTTTTCAGTTTATATATACGGGTCGGTGCATATTTTGTACATTAATGTATACTGTACTCGGAAAACAACGTGTGTGACTGTGTGTGTTATTATAATTGAAAAACTTCAAATGATAGCAATCTTCGTTTCTTTTTTTTCTTTTATTCACGAGACTTTAATCTTCATCATTTTGTTCTTTTTTTCCGTTTTCATCGAATCGCATTGGGCAAACTGTTTATTATATGCATACGCTGGTATATAATAGCTCATATTGAAGCTGACATTTAGTTTTTTAATTCGTTTTTTTTTTTAATTTTTGTTCATGTTTTAAGCCTTTTTTTCTTCAAGCAACTCAGAACACTGAGAGCTTCGGAGACACAGAAGAATTAATGAGATTTGTTCCTATTAAATCACGGATGTCAAACATGTTTCAACATACCATCGTCTCTCTTCTAAAGCACTTTTTCACCTCTTTTTCACCCTCTGTACAATTATTCCTTTCTTTCTTTCTATGATTTTCGTCACTCTCTCAGGCTCAGTTCAACCGTCCCTCAAATTATATAAAGTTTCTCATTGTCTTAATGCATTTTTTTTTACGCAATAACAAATCTACAAAAATATAACATTTTTATCTTATCTCTCATTATATTATCTCAATAAATGGTTTTCTCTCTCTCACACTCTCTCTCTCAATCACTTTCTCTCTTGCTCTCGTTCGCCCTTTTACTCAATTAGATTACCTCTGCACTTTAGACACATATCCATTTTTTCTCCACCATTTTTCCTCTCCACGAATAACCGTGCTATTCTGTCATGTTGTTTTCTTTTTCTCTGTTATACACGTATTATCATACTTTACTGATAAAAGAACCACCTGCCATCCTTCATACTCCAAGGATCTTTGGTAGAATGTCCTTCTGACTATTCTACGCATAAATAGTTTATCTTCTTCTTCTTCCTCTGCTTTTTTTTTTTTTTTCTTTTTTTTTTAAACATGATCGTCTCCATTTTTATGTACACCAATCTCACGTTGTTACTTCTAAAGTAACTCTATTCGTATGTACAATTGAACGAGGGACACGTGTGTGTGTGTGCACATCCTTTTAAAAATATGCTACAGAAAGCGTTTTTTGAGATTTTTTTCAGTACAAGCAGAAAATACAAAAGGAAACAAACTCTTTAATGAAAGTACTCGAACAATAGTTGGAATGGAACACCTGTTCCAATTTACAAAAACGAAACACGACTTATTAGAGTCTAATATTAATTCATCCTGACGATGAAAAATTGTTAACGTACGCATCGTGTAGCATATTTTCTAAGTGATACATACAGAGACTCGCCGCAAGAGTAACTCTTTCAGAGAATCTTGCCTAATTTATAATTCAAGCCGATTACTCTTGCCGCGGGCCCTCCTACGCATTATCGTATCTCTTATCGTACATGGAAATTTGTAATTCGTTCCAGAGTCACTCATTTCTCTCCTCATCAACGCAACGGCAAATAAATATATCGATCGGGCCTCGTACACGCGCGAGCACGCCCCAGTTTCTGAAATTTTTCTTGTATTTCACGTGTACGTGGACCAATACGCGTTAACATCCCACGTTTATATACATTTTATGTTTCTCTATATATTCGCTTTTCCACTCGACCTCTTTCACTCTCTTTCTCTCTCACACTTAACATTTTTCACAGAAAAACAATATTCTCTCTCGCTCTAACGTGACTATCACTCTCTCATGTCATACATATGCACTCATAAAACACTCACAACTTACATATAATATGCTATTGGGAACCTCTAATCTAAATCATATATAAATATATATTTTACCTATATGAAAAGCATCAGTCTCCATTTGCTAATGAATGTCTCAGTATTCTGTCTCGCGTTATCTACAAAAAACAGTAAAACTATTCGTCGTATAACGTATAATAAGTATAGCGTCTCGTGTCTTCGTCTGTATTTGTCTGTCTGTTTGGATCTGTTATCTTCGTCTACGTCTGTATAATTATTAGAGATCAGAGTACTGAGACTGTCAATGCGAGCATTTCATATAATACTGGAAAATATATATTTTCATTGTAAAAAAAATAATCACACTTCTTAAGAATTAAATACTTATAGCAGCTGACGACTTATTCTCGTTCTTAGTAAAATTAGCGCACGCATACACTAATCAGTCGAGTTCATCCTTATGGTGATCCGAGCGGAGTAGTAGTAGTAGTCTAAAACACGCTCGTGTTAGCACAAGCACGACTTCAATTGTTCTTTTTCTTTTTCATTTTTTTTTCAATTTTTTTTTTTTTTGTTGCTCCTATATGGTTTTCTTTTTTTTGTTTTGTGTTCGTTCTCGCTCTTATATCTTACACACTGAATGGTACGTTTGGCAGTGAGGACATCGTATCGTGTACGTCGGAAATGGGTCTACAATCCTTGTGATTTTACAATATCTTGACATCGTGTTGTGTAACGATGACTTGTCTCCTATATTAGTTTAATTATTTTGGCCCCATCAGAGCTTTAGACATTGTTGAGTGATGATCTGCGCGTAACATTTGAAGAGTTCTTCTTCTTCACCTTCTTTTCTCATTGTGCGATAAATTCAAGGCGATTTTAATTTAACTTGCGTGAACAAAGAACTTCATGTGATACGCTATACATACGCTCCTCCTTGTCTTTCCTTTCTTTTTTGTTCTACTTGTAAAAAAGAATCCTCTGAATAATCAAATAGTCGATTATATCTCGAGGTTCGAGAAACTTTCAAATGTTATTAGCGCATCATTACTCGTTTCACACGCTTGATTTTTTTTTCTAAGAAGATTTTTGTGATTGCAGTCTTGAGTCACATCCGGGAGTGTATGTCTAAAAGTCGTTAAAAAGTGATGTATAAATACCTAGTTCTCAGCGACGACTGGAGCAACTAGCGACGCGTCACCCTGTCCCTTCTCTATCCCCTTGCCGTTCTCTACGGCATCCTCGAATTGGCCTGGTACTGGCAGTGCGTCTTTTGATGTATTCATGTTTGGAATCGAGTCACTGATGGTACAATTTACAGATTCGTGAATGTATTCCTTTTTTATGTGTATAAAAAAAAATTACACTTACTTGTAATCAGTTATTCCATCAACATTATTACCTCGTCCCCTGCTGTCTTTCTTTTCACACTCTTTGTTCTTTTTCACGGTAGTTTTTTTCTTTCCGGTTGCCTGTGAAATGATCTATATTAGACATTACATTAGAACATTTCCTCAAGTAATTCAATAGAAGGTTAAAATAGCCTCGTACCACCTTCATCTGCGTCTTTTTGCCGCGGCCAGCTATCGGCGTACGATTATTGCCTCGCGTTTGAAATGTGGGCCTGCCAAGGGGTGGGAAACCACGCGGGAGACCATACTTGAGGCCTCCTATGGAAGTCACCTGCAATATATATCTTAAAAGGTTACCATGGATGGTTTAAACTTTTCCAAATATTAAAGAGGAAGTTCTGTAACCCAGGATCTTTATCCAAGCACACAACAAAATTTTTTCCCCTTTAACATAAATTAAAATATATTTCATGATTATAAAGTTACCAGTTGAGAGTCGAGCAGTGTATAAACTACATAGGAAAATATTCTACCTGTGGTGGAAGTCGTCCACGAGGATGCCCCTGAAGAGGCTGAGGCAAACGACCAGGTTGTCCATAGTTTGGACCCCACTGCCCCACAACGACTCCTGCGATTTCTAGTTGTCCACCTCGTGATGGTATAGGGCGTCGCATTAGTCCACGTTGAGGCATAGTTCCACTGCCTCGTCCACGCATTAACCCATCGTTAATGGTGCAACCAGCAGCCAAAATATTCTGTGGTACCGATACACGGATACCTGTCAGAAAGCAATGACTCATTAAATAGAATTAAAATATTTTAATTAATTAGCGAAAAAAAAATGTATCAGCTTTGAGATTCGCAGACTAAGCCATGGTACATCAAAGTCTACGAAGCAATACAGCTGCGTTTTTACTCTCCTTCCAAGTCGAAAGCACACCACTAAACATATTTATGGTATGCTAAGGTTGTTGGAAGGAGACTTGAGAACTCTGGATGTTTGGTTCGTGAATCAAGCGCTTTATAATGAGTCACGATGGACTCTGAAGGCTAAAAGATCTTATAAATATGTACCTGGTGCGACGGGCATCAGTGGACGAGCAAAAATGACGTTGGTACCCTCTAGCACGGCTTTTCTCATTCGTTCAACTTTCACAACACGATCTATATTACCACTGCATAGTTCCAGTAAATTCTTAGCGATAGTAGCACGAGCCAACGTGTGGTGGAACAACTTCCCATCGAAATACAACCACGGACAGCACATTAACCATGGGATAGGCGCACCACAAGCGTCGTTGGCTAAGAGAGCGGTTTCGACACCGGCCATAAATAGAGTAGCTAGTTGTACTCCGCGGGATGTCACTAAAGGAAGCTGTAGAATATTTCCAGTAAGTAAAATTAATAAAACAATAGTATGTGATAAAATATAAATCATTACCTGGAGATCTTGTAAATACTGAGCGTTCATAAGCTCTGGCGAAAATGCTTGTACAATAAAAGCATCTAGTTCCTGACGACGTAGAACCTTTATTTTGTCCGAAAACGACATAATATATCTACAATAAGAAAGTACACAAGTTATAAAACATTGTAAACTTTATTTTAAAGAAAGATGAATCGCAATTACCTTAATACACACGCCATGACTAAAAGGTGTTGTGGTACATAGGAAGTGTTTAACATAAGAGGTGTATCCGATTTCATGCAAGTCAGGAAACCTCGTAAGCGACGGCGTTTGTCGTCTATACCTGTGCTGTAGATTAAAATCACAATTATAGATTTATTTCTACGAATGAATGGGGAAAATCACGTACCCAAACCATAAACGTTGAATCGTAGGAACACCCCAACCAATTTTTTCCGCTTTTATTAATTCTGGAGTCAAGTACGGATTTAATTTGGACCATACCCACTCCTTTATCACAACGTCTGGGACTTCAATTTTCTCGCTATCTGTCAGTGAATGTATTATGAGTTATAGAACTACTTCCTTTAACAGAATCAATTCACTCACCTCCTTTCTCTTTACTTTTAGCAGCTAAATACATTCTGTGATGAAGATTGAAGAGTATTGCATACACCATTTGTCTAACGGGTCTATAAATAAGATGGATCGATGGAAATTCGCGATTATTCTCGTCTTCAAGCAGCACAGGCAGCTTAATTTCCCCGGCGATGAGAATTTGATAAATATGAGGAGACATCAAGCCCTTCTGATGACGCTCAGAGGCAGTACGCATGACTTCCGGTACGGTGGTGGGAATTGTGGTCGTTTTCTCCGTCTGCCTCGCCGAATCAGCCGTTGCGTGGGACGGAGACGTGGCAGAAGAACTGCTGCTCGAACTCGATGAACTAATTAGAAGATTGTGTGTACCATTTATAGCATGTCCGTTGCCTGAATGAAACAGCATTGTTTTAGACCATGATAATGCTATTCGTCAATATATTACAGCTACTGAGTATATTGTTTCTTTACTTTGTTCTTCCTCCGTCCTAATATTATCCGCATCTCCATGGCCCTGGATACCAGGCGGATCTATCACAATTTGCGGCGCAGACTTTGCATTGGCTGTGGCCTGTTTATATGCGTTCAAGCTCTCGCGTTCGCTCTCCACGGTCTCTGACGCGAATCTCGATGTTTCTAAATTCGTATCGGCCTCTGAGGTCGACGGCGTTTCGGATAAATTCGACTGTTGTTGCACGTTTTGTTTCGAGTCCAATTTGTGTACTGAAAACATTAAAAATCCGTAAGACTAAAATATTCCAATAAAGATGTATATTCCAGATTGAATCAAGATTTTACCTCTGTTTGGTTTCACCGGTTTATAATGCAAGAATCCCTCCTTAGTTCCGTTTATGTAGTACTGAACCGATTGCCTCAGTTTCGAGCATCTAGGATCAGACAGAGACCCGAAAACCTTTTGAGATATAACGTCCAACTCGACGGATGGAAGATCTCGAACGAAATTGGCAATCGTCTTAATCGTATGCTCTACATTCACTTTGTTCAGATTGGTGTTCAAGTTCAATTTCTTGTAAAAGTCAGTCAGATCGTGCTCAGTTAAAATGTAATTCCCGAGTAACGCGGATAACAGACACAGCCTGTCGGATGGGATGTTCAACGCTTTCAAAAGTTCCGGAAGAATGTACTCCTTGGTATCAAGGGAACCCTTGTACGTGAGTTTCAATTGCTCGGATGAGAAGTATCGTGGAGGGTCGAACGCGGCGTATTCCGCGTCATCAGCGATCAAGCCATTGAAATTGTTCTCTCGACAGTATGCGATTACTTCTTGATGATGATCGTCCATACTACAAAGTACTGTGACGTTCAAATGCCGCAAAGCCATACGTAAACTAGTTCTCAAACAAACTGGCGGTGTCCACCAAATTTTCGGTGGTGGAGTGCCTTTTGTTGAAATATGTTTCAATACCTATAAAAATTACTATATAAGATTATGAAGATTTTGATAAATTTTTTAATGAATTTTCACTTACATTATTTACTTTAATTCGCACTTGTAATTGATTTTGAATCCAGTCTGCGCGTCTAGGAGATTCAAAGCATCCATTAAAGAATACAGCTAATTCCAGTCCTGACATTTCTGTTGCTTGTATAAGAACAGCTAGAAATTGTAGCATTCTGTTCCATTGTCCTCCACAAGCCCAATCTATATGATGAATTGTTTTATTGAATAACTTGTCTGATAGGATAATAGCTGTAAGGTGAAAATATATATACCTGAGAAGTATCCTCCATATAATCTATCTAAGCAGCATTCTCCATCTAGAACTAGTCTTAATTTCCCAGAATGTAACTGTTGTGCTTTACCAACACGATTATGCTGCCTTTGAGTAATGGTACGTGCTATTTTTAACAGATCCACAGATACAGACCCTCTTTGTACATAATTGCTATCCAAAAAGACTTGCAAATCTTGAATACCCATTTTGTTCAAGATTCTTTAGTGATGTATAATTACTAGTTAAGCTTGCTTGTTTATCACGCAATGTTACAATGTTTCTTTTGTTTCTTTCCTTAATTTCTTAGATGTAAATGTTTGGTTAGCTTTCAATTTTGATCTTTCTTTTACGACATGAAGAAATCTAATTTCAATTTGAATAATTTCAACCTGCAAATAAACATTGCTTGTGTTATTCACTGTGTCCATGAGATTCTTAGGATTAAAAATAAACTTTCTGAGAGTAACGAGGGATATGGACTGCAAAATCTAGTTGACAGATTTTAAGTACACATTTTATCTAAAAACTTGAAGTTCTGAAACAGGAGAAACTACCAGCAACCACAATGTATATACAATAATATTATAAAAAAACTTCTAAGCTGGGCATAAAACTGGTCCCAATTTGGAACAAGAAATAATAATATAGTGAGCTACAATTAAGGAACACTCAAGAATTGAAAATTTATCATAATCAAGCTAGAAGTATGCCGACGCCATTTATTTTGTTTATATGTAGCCATCCGTCTTCCCAGTTTTCTCTCCCTCGACCAATCGATCAATCTCATTGAGGGAATCGTCGCAAGACAAATCAATGATATCCGTCAGAGATTTTCGACATCGTTTTTCGGTTAATTGAATGTGTTCGAGAAAGAGAGGCTTTATAGACCGGCATGGCGAGGTCTCCGCTCGTTCGCGTGAAACTTACGCAAGGAATTCGCGCGGTTTCGCGGCCAGTTCTCCCATACGAACGACACCATGCGAATTCTGTTAAATTTAATTTAATTGCTCCTGAATGAAACGGCGAGGTACTTACGTTAAATTAGCGATAACCATCGTGGCCCCAAAGAAACACAAAACACACGGGCTTTGAGAGTAGGTGACGTCGGATTCGAAAACGGAAATGAGCGCTCGGCCGCGCTCGGATATCTACGTTACTTGTCCCAGTTCCAGGGGAATACACGGTTTTAATTGGCTGATTTGTAGGTATCAACTGCGTCCGCCGGAAATGAATACCTTAGCATTGTTTTGAAAATATGAATTAAGTAAAAAATGGACTCAAAATTATTTAAAATTGATTTCGTAATGTGATATTTGCATGCAAAATTATTTCAAGTGATAATATATTGAAATTTGTAAGAAATAATATTCTTTATACAGAATCAAAACTAGGGCTCAATCTAGATTCTGCATAATTTCTGCAGTTGATTTTAGATATATACATATAATAAACCCTGGAACTAAAATACACAGTAAATGATATTTGAATTTAATTTTCTTAAAAAAAAAGGCATTTTATACGATAGAAAAACATTAAATGTCTTATCCTTGATAACGATAAAAAGAGTGCGGCTGTTTTCGATTGATGCAATTACAGGATTATTCGTGGCCCTCGTGTAAAACATAATCGTAAAACATATCGATATTTCAATAATCTTTTTTTAATATCCTTTATACAAATACATTCATTCACAAACATACTATATATATATACACAGTTGTGGCCAGCTACTTAAGACCACTTGATAGTTAAGGAAATAAACAGTGCTAATATTTTATTCATTGTATTTTTCGTACACTAAACTCATATAAAATACATTTTGAAGTATGTTATACCATAATATCGCAATAATTTTATTTACAACACTATAAACTACAAATATTTTTAACATTTTCTCAGATTAGTTTGTTATAACAGAGGAAGACTACTTAAAACCAAATCAGACTAATACTATAAATACAGGTAAAATTAATAAAACTTGGTAATTGCGGAAAAATAAAACTTAGAAAGTAGTGAGTAACGCGTTGCACTCCCTTTTTGTCGTATCACTTCTTCACAACGTCTTGGCATAGACTAAATCAAACGACGACAACGCTCGACTGAAATATTATTCCACCCTCTGAATAACAGCATACAGTTCATTTAAATTTTTGGGCTTTTTATATTTTATGTTTCTCCACATCAATCCATAGCATCTCAATAGAATTGAGGTCTGAAGATTGAGAGGGCCATGGTAAAATGTTTACATTTTGCTGACTTAAAAATTTTTTAACCCTACGGGCCGTGTGTTTCGGGTCATTGTCAGCTTGCAAAATTCAGTTTTCTGGCATTTGATTTTTTGTAAATGGGAGCAATACCTCATGTAATATATCAATGTATTTATACTGGTCCATAATTCCACCAATTCTATGAAATGGACCAACAACTTGTAACGTAAACGCTCGCCAAACGTTCACTGAACATACTGAATCTTTCACGGTTGATTTTATGCATTTTAGCGAAAATTCCTCGTTGGGACGACGTCGAACATATATTTGTCACCTGACCCTATTCTGTTAAATTTGGACTCATCAGTAAAAGCAACTTTTGACCAGTCTGCTATTGTCCAGTTGCGATGATTCTTAGCGAACTGTAAACGAAGTTTTCGGTTTCGTTTGGAAATGAGTGGCTTCTTGCGAGCGATGCGACCCATAAGATTAAATTCGTTTAATCTTCTTCGCACTGTTCGAACACTAATTTTCCTGATAATTTCTACATCAGATTCATTGAGAACTTGTTCGGCTGTTTTGTAACGGTCTGTTTCAGAGACCGAACACTAATTTTCCTAATAATTTCTACATCAGATTCATTGAGAACTTGTTCGGCTGTTTTGTAACGGTCTGTTTCAGAGATGCGGTGAAGAAAACGATCTTCCCAGACTGTTGTCTTACGAGGTCTTCTTTTACGCGACACGTTACTAAGTGATCCTGCCTTAGATGTCAATCACATTGCCTGTATACACGCTGTTTTGGAAATATTTAATTTTGTAGCAATTACCGAAAATGAGTATCCCTCATCTCTCAACAATTTAATTTGAATTCTTTGTTCAGGAGTAGTGTTGTTCCCTCGACTCATGATTGTTGACTGATTTACAATTGTTTGCGATTTTGAATGCAGTGATGATTAGTAACTAAGGAACTGATGCAACTATTTAATGTGAAAATTAATAAATAATGTGAAAACATGAATCGATCTTAAGTAGTTTGTCCGCTGTTATAACGGCCTAATCTGAGAAAATGTTAAAATATTTGTAGTTTATAGTGTTGTAAATAAAATTATTGCGATATTATGGTATAACATACTTCAAAATGTATTTCATATGAGTTTAGTATACGAAAAATACAATGAATAAAATATTAGCACTGTTTATTTCCTTAACTACCACGAATCGGTCTTAGGTAGTTGTCCGCTGTTATAACGACCTAATCTGAGAAAATGTTAAAAATATTTGTAGTTAATAGTGTTGTAAATAAAATTATTGCGATATTATGGTATAACATACTTCAAAATGTATTTCATATGAGTTTAGTATACGAAAAATACAATGAATAAAATATTAGCACTGTGTATTTCCTTAACTAGCCAGCGGTCTTAAGTAGCTGGCCGCCGCTCTGTGTGTGTGTGTGTGCGCGCGCGCACGCGGTGTGTGTATTTCTTATGTTCAGTCGAAAATTAATTTTTCTTTCATTACATATACAAAACGGTGGAAGATTAAATGAAATAAATTATAACTCTTCCTTTTGACCGAAAAATGGAACTTATGAGTCTATATAAACATAATGAACAAAATATTTTTTGTTTGCATCCACTTATGCGTCATTGCGACGATATTATTACAAAAACAAGTAGCAAGTAGTACTCATTCTCTTCCTCTCCCTCTCTGTCTCTCTGTACAACAATTCATATTTTCTTTTGCAACAACTGTTGCACTATCCAGTGAATTACTGTATCACTATACATTGTATAGCCACACAACTATAAAAATTATATTCTTATGCAATATAATTCTCGATTATAATTCATCGTGCTTTTCATCGTCTTTTTCATCCTCGTTCGCATCCATATCGATGATTTTCTCAGAATCCAAGTCTACATCTGTTTCTGTCGAAGCGGATTCCTCCTCTTGTGTTTCTTCTTCCTCAGGAACTTCATCAAGAGAGATACCCAAGGTCTGCCTCATCAATTGCTCCACACTATCTGCAAAGCTTGCAGTCTCTCTAAGCATATAGCCAGAGCGAAGAGTAGCTGTCTTGAACATCATAAGGGCAATGTCTTTTGCTGTTTGATCACTAGTGTCAGCTTCTACTCTACGCAATAACTCCCTAATAAGTGGATGCCGTGGATTGATCTCCAACGTTTTCTTCTGATTTAAATAGTAAGTCTTTTGAGGATCGTCAGTCTTCTGATGTGCATTTGAGATGGCCAATCTCTCCATATTTCCTGTCCATCCGAACATACTGGCAACCAAAGCACATGGAGAGTCTGTTAAACGTTCGGATATCTGCGCTTTGCTGATATGATTTTTCAGAACATCGTTCAGCCACTTGACTAGGGGTTCGAAAGTGGTCTTCATCTGTTCCATCCTCTCCTTGGCCTTCTCTCCCACGTCCAACGTGAAACCTTCTTTGGCTACGTTCTGGAACTTCTTGCCATCAAACTCAGGAAGAGCAGAAAGAGCATACTCGTCTACTGCTTCGGTTAGATATAGAACTTCGTAGCCTTTCTTGTCCAGTCTCTCCACGAATGGAGACTTCTTCACCTCGTCCCATTCTAGACACGTAATCTGCCAATGATGTGGCACCTGTCTGCGTGGAGGACTGGAACAACAGGAGCTTAGACAATCTAGCTCTATTTTGAGCATCTTCAATCACACCTAACTTGATGTTGGTGCTATACTCCTTCCAAAACTTCTCATAATCCTCTTTAGGGATCTTTTTGATCATATCCAGTACTTTTCTAATCAGCTTTTTCTTGATTACCTTGATGAGCTTGTGTTGCTGCAGGTTTTCACGTGAGACGTTCAGTGGTAGATCGTCACTGTCGACAATACCACGGATGAAAGACAAGTAGTTGGCCATCATGTCTGTAAATTTGTCGGTGATGAAGACTCTTCTAACATATAACTTAATGTTGTCCGCTTTAGTGCCGTAGCGATTGAAGCTGTCGCCTGGTTGAACCTTGGGGATGAAGAGGAGCGATTTGAATGTAACTTCACCCTCTGCTACAAAGTGGATCTTTGCCAGAGGTTCTTGGGTATCTTTCGTCAGTGCCTTATAGAAATCATTGTAGTCCTTGTCCTCGACATCAGACGGCTTCAAAGTCCATATAGGTTTGGAATCGTTCAGCAACTCCCAATCCCAAATAGTTTTATCGACCTTCTTCGTTTTCTTTTCTTCTTCCGCGTCTTCTACTTTTGCATCTTCCTCTTCGTCTACTTTATCTTCGGCAGTCTCTTCTTTATTGCTTACGTCTTCTTTTACCGCTTTTTCCTCTTCCTCTTCTTCTTCGTCTACTTGGATAACCTTGCTGCTCCAAAGATAGATGGGAAAGTTGATGAATTGTGAGTATTTTTTCACAAGATTCCTGATCGTGTCTTCTTCTAAAAAGTCTAACGCTTCGTCCTTCAGGTGTAAACTACAAAAAAAGAGTAATTAATTGCAATTACATTAAATTTCTTGAAAATTAAGTGTAAGAAGTATAGTACTATTTACCTAACAGTTGTTCCTCTCTTTAATGTGTCTCCTCTTGGATCCTCTGCAATACTGTAGCTACCACTATCAGACTGCCAGATGTGTTGTTTATCATCATTGTGCTTAGAAGTAACAATTACAGTATGGGAGACCAAAAAAGCAGAGTAAAATCCAACTCCAAACTGGCCAATCATATCATTCAAGTCTTGAGTGTTAGAGGTGTCTTGCATCTTGCCTAGGAACTCAGCAGTTCCAGACTTGGCGATAGTTCCAAGATTGCTAATTAACTCTTTTTTGGTCATACCAATACCAGAGTCAGTTATACTCAATATTTTATTCTCTCTGTCAGATTTTATTCTGATTGCTAGCTCTGGATTGGTGTCTAATACATTCTTATCAGTGAGAGATAGCAACCTAATTTTATCCAGAGCATCAGATGCATTGGATATCAACTCTCTCAAAAAGATATCCTTGTTACGGTACAAGGAGTTAATGATGAGTTTCATTATACGATTAACTTCAGTTTGGAATGTAAATTTTTCAGCTTTATCCCTGAGCTCCTTAATCTGTACCACATTTAATCCATCCAACTTTATTGCCTCTTCTTCTCTTTGAACAACTTCATCATCTACAAAATATATTTGATAAATATTAGAACAATATATTTCATTATACTATCTATCATAAAATGTATCAACCAAAGATTATGAAAGTGCAGTAATTTTTTATCTCTTAAGTAAATAAAAAATAGGTGGGTGTCTGATATAATCGCTATTATCACATAAAGATTCCATATGCACATCTGTTTTTCAAAGCCATTAACATAAATAATCACTTGAAATCGATGATACAATTGAAAACACGTTTAACCTGTTCGAGATCCTTCGCGACTGGCTCCTAGATCGTTTTCCACAGTCCCAACATTTTCCTCTACCTGATCCTCAGCCCTAACGGATCCTAAATAACAAAGATGTACAATGATGCTCTATCTCAATTAACGAGTGCATTCTAATAGATTTTTCTCTGTAATTATGATATTTTTTAACTGACTTACCTGCCAAAAGGAACAGGACTGATACCAATATTAACACTTTTTTCATTGCTGTCGTGAAAGATTCACGAATAATAGCAGGAAGAAAAGTGAAAATACCTGCAAATTTAGTTCGCACACTTCTCTCCACTGTTTTACGCCGACAGTCATATAATGTAACCTACGACACTGTGATATAGCAAGAGGGAACTGTAGAAATCCACCAATCCTGTAGACCCACGCAATTCAGATGTACCATTGACGAGTAAGCCGGTACCAATGACCAAATGTCGCCTTTTCATTGGTGGATGGATGCACACATGGCATACGCTATTCTAGAACATTCCCTTGGAATTTTCCGTATTTTACAATTAAATACCCATTAAATGAACATTTCTCACATTCCTAACTTTTTCATGCATACAAGAAAGGCATTAAGCACGAAAGTATTATTGTATTTAAAGAAATTGATATTTAATTTGTTTTAAAAAAACTTGTTCAAACGTACAACAGTTGGTTATCGACGGATAGTAAGCATGATTACAGTTAGTCGTTAATATCTTACCATCTGTTAATAAAATTGACTTAAATCACAGACGAGATACAGGATAGACAACGTATCCAATATATTTTTGTGTCCAACGCTGAAATACCGATCGTGTAAAAAATTTGAGTTTTTGTTATACCCTCTACAATATAAAACGGTGAGTTTAGGAATTACCTACAATCCAACTGTCAAAGATGGTAAAGTCGACAGATGTAAAAAATCCTCTTTTATTAAATTTGTATTAAAGATACATACATATATTGGATTGCTTCGGTAGAACTGTTCAGGATGTTTTAACAGCAGTAGAACACGCGCATGTGATGAATCATCTACTAAGAAACAATTACGTTATGTTTTTACTTGTAATATTATAGTTACGTTTAATTCTAATTCCAATCACTACCAATGTTGTAATCTTATTCTATGCTGAATCGGTAACGTTGGTAACAGTATGAAAATAATAATGTTCTTCTCGGCCCCAAAGCCCCAGACAAAAGGTCCCATAAGATGCTAAGTCTATCCTGTACGTCGTCTGTGATTAAAACCTTATAACTTCATTCATATCTGCATAATAAGAACGCATCAGTATACAATTTAAAATAGTTACTATGTTTACTTAGAGTGAAATGTGCTCTCCGATAAAATATATCGATGTATAACTAACAGATATACTTTTTCGAGGCCAAAGCAATATTATCATACCGTCACGGTGCATGGATAAAGCGATTTCAGACGCACAATTACTTTCGCCATATATAGCCTGCCAATTCAATGGCAAGTAAATACTTACTTATATTATATATACAACACAGCAGATCCCTTGGAACAAAGACCGGATATGATCGTTATTCCTGTGCACTTATGTAATAAGCCAACCTCAGATCATCTTAAGTTACATTTAAAAATAAATCTTATTTTAATTCATTTAAATACATTTCTCAATGAAGGACTATGAAAATTACTGAAAGAATCATTTAATATGCTTACTATCCGTTGACTTGCATGCGATTCAGAATAATTTTAACTTACCTCTACTTTTTGTTTTCCTTTTTTCTGTTTTTGTAAAGAGAAAGATTTATTTTCTATATTTTCTATAATTTATATGAATAGCTGAGATAAAAATCTCGTTTACATTTGAGAAACTTATTTTAAGTAAGTATACAGGATAGTGGACGTGTTAATTATAATAAAAGGTATCTCTATCAGTTGACAATAAAATACATAGCAACCTGGGAACTCTATCAACGATGACATATTCCAAAAATTATCGACAGGACAACGGTATCGCTATTTTTTCGCCAATACACGTGTTGTGACTAGCCAGTCGTTATGGATACGTTTTCTACAGAATGATTGCTTATGTTGAACACATCTCGTTTTTATACGTGTGCGATGTAATGTGTGTTGTCCTATAGAATGCGCGAAGTCGAGTTCAGAGTATCCCTCGGCGTCACTTGCCTTCCGGTCGTCATCAGAAGAGTCACGAATTCCTCTTCCGTCCTTCATCATCGATAGTTGATCAGAATATTTCTAGAGAATCGGTACATGCGGTTCCAGCCTTGCCTCCTGAAGATCAAGGTAAGTACAATCATTAAAAAAATTAAATAAATAAGTAGATAAATAAACAAAAAGAATAAAAGATGAAAAATTTGATTTGAAGGATCACTTATTAAAATTTTTACCTGATGAATAATTTAACATAATTGTAGTTTCATTGATGTCAATATTACAAGACCATTTCATTATCAGCCTATACCAGCCTACAATTTTCGCTCCGCCCCAGTAAACTAGCGAATAATTGATGAGACAATTTGAACGTACTGAAAACTAGCACGTAAGACAAGGATCGATCGGTCAAATGCGAAGTCGATTCGATGTTTTCCCTTTGGGGGTTCCACGGGGGACAATTCCGTTGAAACACCATTGTTCCATTGATACACTTAATTATCTAGCCGAGGGTGGGCTTTTGTCACGCCTACGAGGGAATTAAATTGTGGCTGACTAATGAAATTACTGACGTACACGCACTGTGGAAACACGCTGTGTTGCAATTCCATATTAAGCAAATGAAAAAACAAGCTAGCGTATTAAATTGGTACCAACTCCCACTTTTCTCCTGCGTTTACTCTCTCCCTACCTCAAGTCGCTATTTACCTCTCTCTCTCTCTGTTTCTCTGATCAAGATAATGAAAGGCACGTAAAAATGTTCATGGCACATGATTCATCAAAAGTATCTAAAACGATAGCGAATCACTAAAATAATTAGGGGTGTAATTAACGGGTTATTTGATTATCTTCTAACGAAATAGATAGAAAGTGAGATAAGTACGTACGGATTCGTTGTCCTTTTCTCAGTTACCTGAGAATAGCGTAGTGAGTCACGGTACAAAGTTCTCTTTCAGGGATGTTCTTGAACAGACCGCAGAGTGCGACCACTAGGCAAGAGACTGAAATGATCTATAAGGCCCAACGGGCCTTGCACAGCATCACGGATTCTACGGAGAAACTTCGCCTTCTCTGCCTAGCCAGAGGTGCCAATGGCATCCTTGGTCTGGGTAGGTGAGTTTTCAATTCCTCTTTAATCTATATATAACAATCACTTTTAAGATTAATCATTTTTCGTTAATTTATAGAACTTTTCGTATTATGGATGACGATGGAAACAAGAAACTGAATCTGGAGGAGTTCACCAACGGCCTGCACGAGTATGGTCTGGATGTTACAGACGAGGAGATCCAAGAGATCTTCAACAAGTTTGACATGGACAACGACGGGAACGTCAGCGTGGACGAGTTCATCATTGGCATAAGAGTACATGGCTTTTCTTAATTAATTGATTCCACTAGCTTCTGTATCCTAAAACAGAAACTTTCTTGTTCAGCCTCCAATGTCCCAGAGTCGTAGAAACGTGGTGGGTCAAGCTTTTCAAAAATTGGATAAAACTGGAGATGGAGTGATCACCGTTGAAGATTTAAAGGGCGTCTACAACGTCAAGTGTCATCCCCGATATATCAGTGGCGAAGAGAGTGAAGAGAGCATTCTGAACAAGTTTCTGGCCAACTTTGAACAGAATAATACCAGAGATGGCATTGTGAGTACTTACTTAAATTTTAATTAACTTTTTCAAATTTCCACGTTGTGAATTAATTAGTTAAAGAAAAAAACGAGATACATCGTTAAATAAAGTGGTGGGGAGCTGCTTAAATCGAACCGTGAATAGGCAATCGACTATGGCTAGACTATAGCATTCATGGTGCTCATTTCAGGTGACCGAGGAGGAGTTCATGAATTATTATAGCGCTATCAGTGCTAGCATCGATCACGACGCCTACTTCGATCTGATGATGCGAAACGCCTACAAGCTATGATCCCCTCAGTATAGTCCTCTATCGAAATTATATTCCTCCATTGGATTTAATACACAGCTTTCACAGTCAATTATCGTGCTTTGAAGTGTTTGCGCAATTATGCTAGCAATTGATAAAACATTCTTTTGCGAGTCCTAGACTGTGTTTACAGAAGTTTGCGATCTGTTTTATATAACAATTCATGATTGTCTATTCGACTTATAGTCAATTTTTATAGACTGTTCCGTAAAGAACTTAGGAAAGATCGTATTCTTTTTGTTTCTTCACGATTACGCCAACAGTGTGTCTCAGCCTGATCTAGAAACGTTCCTTAAACTTTTTCAGTACTGTACATAAATTTAATTAATTTTGGTAATAGGTATTATTTAGAAGTATGAAGGTTATGTATATATACGATGATTCGCTTTCTTGATCTAAGGGACTTCTTACTACCCTTTTAGTCGAGTTTGAGAACCACTGCACGATGTTGATGCCTAGTTAGACGTATATGTGTGTGTAACGTATAAAAACAAGGTTGGTTATAGGGTCCAATACGGTGGAAATTCATGTATCCTTCGAATGGCAAAACTTTAAAGTTTTAAGCCCATCGAATTTTCTCTCGCACTTTGATTACTAATTATTTTTCAATCTTGTAGTTATACATACATTTACGGTGTTTCGTAAATGCTTGTCAATACTTCCGAGGGTAAATCTACACCCTAAAACAAATACAAAGTGTCACGTGGACATATGTCCGATATACCCTCGTTTTCGAGTTATGGATAATTAAAGAGAATGTTCGAAGTGCCTGCCTCGTGCCTCAACACACATTACTTCACGTTGTAGCATCGAGTTCCATGTAGCATCTAAAATCTATTTTGTATCCTTTCTTGCTAATCTTGCACATCATTCACTTGCGTTGCACACACAATTTTTAGCACACACTTGCTTCATATCAATGGATATTATTGATAAACATTAAATAAGGTCAAGCTATACTAAGGCGTGCAGAAGCGTGTGTTGAGGCACGAGAAGGGCACTTGGAACATTTTCTTTAATCATTCATAACTCGAAAACGAAGGTATATCGGACATATGTCCATATGACATGTTTTACTTGTTTTAGTTTGTAGATTTACCCACTGAAGTATTGACATGAACTTACGAAACACCCTGTGTACTTTGAAGTATAAGAAAGTAAGAAAAGTTGCGTAGCTTGTATTTGGATAGGAATCCTTACAACAGAGCTTATGATTTTTTCCGGTTTCCTTTGCCTTTTTAATCTGCATTTAGCACTGATTCCCTTTTTAACACAAAAGTTCAATTTTAATATTCGATAACTATTCGACAGATTACCAACTCATGATAAGCGTAATTTTGTATCGATCTACTTTATCTTGGGTGTGTATGATTTAATTACAGACTGTACCTCTACGAGAATTACTGTGTCATTCAATAAAATTACATTCATATTCATTAAATATAAAAAATATCGTTTATTCGATTATTTCATTCGTATATTTAAAAGTGCTACAGGAAAAAAAGAATTTTGCATCGGCCGGGAATCGAACCCGGGCCGCCCGCGTGGCAGGCGAGCATTCTACCACTGAACCACCGATGCTACTTGAAACATGTTCTAACGTATGTGTACGTGTGTGTACGTATCATTAACACCAACACACTTTAGCATATATTTTGTTTTCAGGATAAAGATCGTAATAAATTTTCAAATATATTCTTCTTGTCTTAAGTGCATTCACGAATAATAAAAGTAGCCTCGTTCAACGAAAATTTTTAAGCGTAGTAAAAATTAATGGAAGAAAGAAGCAATAGTATTCTTTTGGTTAACTTCTGATTTCCCGAAGTTTACATTTTCAAACTTTCTGTGTTGGAAAATTCGCGGTTCGACGAAAGCAAACACATGACCCAAACGTCCGACCGGACGTTTATTGTACGATGAGCACGGCGAGTGCGGGCCCGAAGAGCACAACGCCATGTCTGTCGTAAATCAACCCCTTAGGCCAGGGGTTCCCAAAGTTTTGCCTAGGTGGGTCAAATTGTAAATTCCAAAATATTTGGCGGACCATTGAGACAATTACGGCCATTGGTCGTTAAGACAATAAAATATATACAATCTATACAATAACAAGATATATTACATATAAAATTTAGTACTTTTTTAACTGAACAATTTTTAATTATAATATGATAAAATTTATTTATTTTTTGTAAAAATGTAAATTATCTCTATAAATTCAAGATCGCGGCTGATCTGCCATCGCGGGCCGCATTTCTAGGGTTTGCGGGCCGCACTTTGGGAACCCCTGCTTTAGGCCCTTAAGGAGTTTTCGTTGGCGACGACGAAAGGACTTTCCCAGACGGGGAAAGTCAGTCTCTCTTAGACAGTCCTCTGGCAAACATCGAGTCGACATTGTATTCTATAGAATATATATATTTGTGAGAAATTAACAGGGCTTGATCAATTCTACGCCCATTATATTCGTGGGCCTCGTATTTCTTACACATATAAACACCTTTTTATCGAAAAATCATGGGAGATATCGAAATCAAATTTTAACCAAGTGTTCTCTGTGGGCAGATAAAGGAATTAATACGTAGATTTTACTGTATCTTGCTGCGTTCATTACTGGCAACACTTTCTTATTGAAAAACAAAAAAAGAGTAAGTAGTTTTTGGAAAATTATATTCTTAGTTCCAAGCGATATTTTTAAATTTTAACTCATGAATATGCATAAACAGGACGAAAAAACGTATGGAAAAAATTTGTAGGCAGTAAGGGAAACTTGTACAAAACCGTATATCGTATTTATTGCCGTAACTAATTGAAAAAATTCCAGGACCATTTTGCAATTATTTTCTGCCATATTGAAGTGTCTGTCAACAGTGTTTTGTTATAAACCAAGTAAATTTTAAAGAATTATCAAGTTTATTGTGTTTTCAAGTGTTCTGATCTAATACTCGGCTGTTTCCAAAACTATACTGTAGTGTTTCGATTAAATGAAAGAATTAAATGAAATAAATCTGAAGTTGATGACATTTGCGTATATGTATTGTCACGAAGAATATGGCATGAGCCGTTTGCAAGAAGGTTGGATACCAGAAGAACTTGATCATTTTCAATGTTATCGTTGTTAATTTAAATTAGGGGCAATATCGTATGGTGTATACGGTTTTATCCACCCCATGAGGCAAAATCGGAATAAATAGAGATTTCGTTTTATTGTTAATTTAAGTAATAAGATAGAATTTTTTAATTCTATTTCTATTATTTTTTGTTCATTATGAAAGCGTATATAGTAAATACAGTTTTGATTACACAATTTGTTTTACAAATTACAAAGTTATTGTAATTCGAACCTTAATAGTGACGTCCGCACATTTCACTCAAAAACTCGTCGCTGCCATCAGAACTCTCGTCTAGATCGTACCGCCGGTACTTCTCGCTCAGTTTGTTAGAGTGCAATTATGACACATTTTTTTGAGAGAAATACATTGAATATAAATCATTTATGTAATATTTTACAGCCAAAAATAAATAAATAAATAAAGTCATGTCAGCGAGACGCCGCGCCGGCCGAAAACCGCTCCCCCAGCGAAGTCACGTATGCGTGACAAGCGAACGTCAAAGTGTTAAGTATGCATACGGTTTTGTACGGGTTTCCCTTACTTATCTATAACGGTCCCTTAAGAAAAATGTGCATATATATTACATAAAGTTGAGAAATTTAACAATGGTGTAAGTGTAGTGTGTATGGATCTGTGTGCATACGTGTGCCTGTCCGAGCTGCGGACAGAGGAACAGCGTTGTTTTGTGGTTGCTAACGACGGAAGATCGGAACAGCGCGTCGCGAAAGACGTTGATCGGCCGTTTGGTTGTCGCGTGCCCTTTATACTAAAATCGCCCATCCCTTACAATGGTAAGATAAGTTGACCTTTCCGTATCCTCTTAACACTTTCTCGGCGGTGCGGCGGTCACATATGCGTTACTTCGACGGCCAGCGACTATTAGCGGACGTCACGTATGCCTGACTTTAATTGTCAACATTCTTCGCGGGCGTTCCGCGTGATTTTGATATCGTCTACGTCACCGTATATGTATCTAGATACTGAGATGTTATGTTTATTTAAAGTACGATGCGATATAAACGGGCCAATCCTGTCGCTAATGGTAAACATAATTCTTTCAATATTTTTTTCATAATTCGTTCAAATGTCATACTGTGAAGTTAGTCTCGTTCTAAGTAACGTTTTTTTTCCGTTGATATTTTAAAATTAAACAATATTTAAACCTAAAAAATGGCGCATTCATGTGCACTTCTTGTAAAGTGCCGCTTCATGTGGGAAAATGTTTTGAAAACTATCACACGTTACAAAAATATTAATAATTTAATTAATAAAAATTATTAAAAATATGTTGAGGGTTTCGATGTTATTTGTGTCTTTAGGTCGGAATATGCTGTTGAGTGTGGGGAAGAACTTGCTGGAGTTGCGAGGAGTGATTGCGGATATTTTCTTTTTCCAGAAATTGTTGACAGATTCGTGGAAGGCAAACTTTAATTCGTTTCGGATTATTTTTAGTATGTCTTTGTGTGCTGTTATCAGTGTATCGTTTGCTATTGTGTAGTTTTCTGGTTTAGTTAGTCTGTTGATCTGGGTGAGAGTGTAGCTTTTTTGTTTGCGTAATCGTGTGATTAGTGGCGTTACGTACTTGTCGGTTGCGTTTTGGTTTTTTGGTATTTGTGGAGTTGCGTGATCTATTGCTTTGTTGATGTTGTCGCTGAGTTTGTCAATGTATTCGTCTATTTCGTCCGTTGTTAGGTTTCTGTTGTTCGGTAAGATCGTGTCGTCCGTTTCTATGAGGAAGTTTTTAAACTGTGTCCAGTCTGTTTTGTTGAAGTTATATTTTTTTGGCGCTACTGTTTCGTCTATTTCGAGGGTCTTCATCGTCGGGATGGAGATTTGGATTTTGACTGCTCTGTGGTCGCTGTCGTATGGAAAGGA